TTTTTTCTTTTTTCTTATGTGGTGCTGAGGAATCGAACCCAGGGCCTCATGCATACAAGGCAAGCGCTCTACCACTGAGCCACCTTCCCAGCCCTCAACTGTGTCTTCTGCTAAGAACTTTCTTGTTTTAGCTCTTAAACTTGGACAATGTTATGACACCTCTAGTTTTGGAGTTACGGGGGACTGAACCAGGGCTGGCACCCGGCCGGCAGTTGATCTGCCACTTGGGCCATGCCTCCAGCCCTTTTTGCATTGGTCTCACTTCACGTGATCCTCTTACTTGTGTGCCCAGCGATTGTGTTTCCACTGCAGCTGGGATGACAGGCATGAACTGCTACAGCCAGCCATCGGTGGAGATGGAGTCTCTCAAACTTCTTTTTGCCTGGACTGGCCGTGAATCTCAAGCTTCTGATATCCTCCCAAGTAGCCAGGATTCCAGTGTTGAGCCACTGCTATGCTATGAGGAAGTAGTCAGGTTCCGTGTCTCTTGTTGTCCCAAGGCCACTGGCTAAAACCTTGACCCTTTCCCCACAGCACACTACAGTGGCTCGGTCAGAATTGGTTGGTGGAGGACTGGGAAGGTGGCTCAGTGGTAGAGCACTTGCCTCACATGCATGAAGCCCTGGGTTCGATTCCTCAGTACCACATACACAGAAAAAGCCAGAAGTGGTGGTGTGTCTCAAGTGGGGGAGTGCTAGCCTTGAGCAAAAGAGGCCCAGGGACAGGTATTTGCAGAAAGTGTGAGCCCTGAGTTCAAACTCGAGTACCCCTGGAATGTCCGTGTGCCTGGCCAAGGCCCCAGAGGGCGGTCTGGGGCACACACACAGGACGGCTCCCCGCGTCCGTTCCTGCAGAGCCCCAGAGGGCGGTCTGGGGTACACACACAGGACGGCTCCCCGCGTCCGTTCCTGCAGAGAATCCATTCATCAGTCCAAGTCCTTGGATGGTGAGATCGAGGCCTACAAGAAATCCATCATGAAGGAGGAGGAGAAGAACGAGAAGCTGGCAGGCATCCTGAACCGCACGGAGACCGAGGCCAGCCTCACGCAGAAGATGACCGCCCAGTGCCTGAGCAGGCACGAGGTGCTGCAGAACGAGTTCACCACCTACCGCCTCACGCTGCAGGACGCAGAGGACGCCCTCAGCAAGGGCCAAGTGGTGCGGCCG